CTGACGCGTCTGCCTCCGCGACCCGAAAGGAGAAGCGGCGATGGAAGATGAAGATGAAGAAGATGAAGTTTACATAAAGGACACTCATCAAGCCGCCATCACCTTAACAACAAGTGCACCCCAGGTCCTCATAAGCAAATTTCGGAAAGCCCCAGAGCGAAAGAAGGCAGAAACAGCCTCAGGAAGAGAGGTTTAAAACCTGAAATGACTATGATGTGAGAGACGCTAGAGGCACAATTCACTACCTGGAAATAGAGAAGAAACCATCAAGCGAAAAGGAGTAAAAACCGTGCTGTTCGGGAAGGGCGAGATCTGAAGAACTATAGCCTAATCTGCTTTCCCTCATAACTCTACAGGCTGTTCACTAAGATCGTTACCAACAGACTGTCAACAAGTTTGGACGAAAGAAGCCAAGAGAAGATACAGGATTCCAAAGGCGATAGAGCACAGCGGATAAGACGTTTACCTTAAGTCATCGAGGGCAACAGGGAATCCCGACTCCATCTGTGCCTAACCTTCGTCGACGCAAAGAATGTGTTCGACACGGTAAAGCATGACACAGTGGACTGCACTGAATGAGGCATCAACACCGGTTATCTCAACTTGTTAAAGGATGCGAACTTCGGCTCTTCACAAACAAAACGATGTTCGACAACTTCGTCTGGATTCACGTAGAAAAGGGCGTGAAACAAGGGGACATCATCTCTCAGAAACTCTTCACTGCCAGTTTGGAAATAGTGCGCTGGAGGATAGACTGGAGAGGTTGAACTGTAATCGGCTATTAACTGATGACCTCTTGGAATTGAGGAAAACGCGAGTTTGTTACAAAACATCAAATAAGAACTCGAGAGAAGTACGCTATTCAGACTGCGAATTAATCGGTGCTTTGGCGAAGACCTGGGTATTATAATCGGTGAAAATATCGACGTCGATAAATATATTTACCTTCGTCAAAAATGCAACATGCGGCATGATCATGCTGAAAGGATTCAACGAATAGGGTCAGCTGGTGCGCGTTCCAGTACAACATCAGGGGAAAAAAGCAGTACCCACCTCTGCAATTCTACCATGCTACAGGCAGTGTTGTTGTATGACTGTGAGGAACGGTTACTCATGAAAGCTGTTCCTGAGAAAGTCATGAAAAGAAGAATGCTGAGTATCAGACGTCACGAGCGCATCCCTAATACGATGATCAGAGAACGCACGGTTATAACAAAGGTCGTGGTCGAAGGCAAAATAAGAAGCTAAGGAAAAACTGGCAAAAATCTCAGCTCACCAATGGGAGACTGTCTGCGATAATGGTCGACTGCTACCTTCGCGGGCGGATAGGCCGTTTGGTCGTTCACACCGACGGCGAGAAGATTGTACCATGATCTTAGAAGTGCACGCCTTGAGGGGAAGGACTTGAACCCGCAAGTAATGGCTGGCATGATGCTGTTGGCGTGATTTATCGCCGATTATCGGCTAGTTCAAGTGGTGTATGTTAAGAATATTAAGAATATGTATAAAGTCCTATTCTTATGCGGCTGATCGAGGTTAATCCATATTTTTAAGGCAAATTCAAACATGCAGGCACAAACTTTGGATAAGATATTTGCTACGAATTGTTGTTTATTTCATGTTTCGCCAGTGTGTATGTTGTGGTTTTGCGAAGTACTGCAGAAATATTACTTAACTTCATGATTCCCATGGGATAGCTATACAGCAGTAGCAGATACTTAAAATGTTGCTTTTCAACTTCCTGTAAGTTTGTGGTTTCTCCTCGAACAAGCAGAAAGTACACGTTCAGAAAAATAGGACGATACAGTACTAAGGTGAATTTCGTGACACAGTTGTCATCAGCGTCAGTGAGTTTAGCTGCGTTACCACACTGATGTCAAAAAATCTACCACTGAAAAAGTATGAGTGACGTGAGCTCGCTATAAGCCGTACTGTGCTATCCGTGATGATACGTCAAAGGGCGACGGAATGAACCTCGGTTTTTGCTGTCACTCTACAAGGTGCTTTCTGAATATAAGAGTACGGTCAATAGTGGTGAGGAGATATCGTGACGTTGACTGTGCACTGCACGGCACCCATTGCATTCATACGTATGCAAGAAATATTAACTACGAAAGAACCAGATCTATTGACGACAAGGAATAAGATTTTCATCGCAGCAACTTCTAATTCTACTAAATCTGTATCAAGCATCCCAAGAACTAATTTATCAGAAGATTTCTGCCAGTGAAACTGCGCTTAACCTTAGAATATAACAATAACACATTAGCAATTGTTTTAATCATAACGAGGTTCTACCGACCTGAAAGCATTTCTTTAGGCGACATCCAGCACAAAAACGGCGAGTTTTTAGTGTCACGGAGCAATCTTCAGAAAACTGACAGCGAAGATTCTAAACATACACAAATTAAACGCACATTACATTTAAAAAAATACTTAGCTTTCAAAAACAGAGGTGGAGTCCTACATGAAGCGATTCCTTTCTCAAAATTAATAAATTCTACTACGAGACAGTACAGAATATTACATTTATTAGATAAATGTTTTTCAACGTTTCGATCATACTCGATCCGTCTTAAGGGAGAAACATTTTAAAAAGTTACTTCAGGTAGGATCGGAACGAGCATCATTCGAAATGTTCGAGTATATGTATATTATAAAATTTCATATGCCAAATCATGGCATAAAGGACTTTTCAAATTCTGAACAAATAATAGAGAAATATCAAATATTAAATCAGCTATAAGTACTTAATGCACTTGAACTACGAAAAAGACCGGTGGATTTTGCCACCTGAGAAAGATAAAGTGAAAAAAGGCGAAAGAAAGAACCGGTATGATTTGTTTTGATCACCTCCACATAGATTAGGCTAATGATTTCTGCAGCCATGAAAGCTTACAAATATTTTCTTAACATTCATTGCCTGGTTAGGGCATGTATTCCGAGAAGAAGCAAAAGGAAAAAAGACAATAACATCGGCATTACAGCAGTCGACTGGGTGGAAAGTATAACTTTCTCTCTACCGCCGATATGTCACTTTTATTTAATG